TACATATGGGTTGCGTGTGGGTCACATGCAAGCCGCACCGTGCATTTCCAACATTACTTAGCAGGATCATCACATCGTGACAAGGATGGATCCTCTTTCTTATTCAAAGCATAGCTTTTATCACTTGACTTACAGTTTCCCTTCAACTCCATGCCTTCTCACTTAAAATTTCATCACCCATCGCTCCCACTATTCACAGGCAATGGTGTAAAGGGACAAGAACCATCTGCTCTTTACCGTTATAGGTACTATAACAGAAAGAGATCTAAAGGCTGATACACTTTGGACAACACAAGATACAATCTCTGTATTATAAGCCCAACTGCTTTTGTCACCTGAGCTCTGCACGAAACACCTTGCAATTCCATTGATACCAATTTTGACAATTCCATGTTCTACACGGAAGATGTTGCAGCTTTGTACCCGCTTCAAAACCAATTTGCCTTTTGACAGAAGCGGATTCATGACTGGCCTATAGCCCAACCAGGATAGATATTCGTCGCACCTGAGTTTTGACTTCTAATCGATCTGTGGCTCGCGGCTTGCCAGCCACGCCATTTCAAGAATGAGATTTTTTATTGATTTTAGGTCCATGGTGTCCCGACACAGCTCCACGCTACCAGAGTCTTTTGACTTTTTAAAAGACAATGTATATATTTGACACTCTTAATCATGTCCCGTCGAAAGAGCACAGAAATCGTATATCTCTAATATCTCCGAGTACCGTCGGTCGTTATTAAAAGTCGCGCGACGTGCGTGATTGCACAACGCTCCTGAAACTTACCGAACTTTCAGTGCTTCGCAAAGCACAGAGTATTGTATTCAATAACCAACTCCCATGTGCAATGTACCCCGCATCTGTCAAAGAAAATCGTTCTTTAAGGGCTATGTCCCTTGGGCAACAATCTCCATGAGGTACAAGTCGCCCTGTACCTACTGGGACCTTGACTTCTTTTGCAGGGGGGTGGCTCGTCGTCAATCTGCTAAGAGCCTCATTTTTTTTTTCGAGTCTCTCCGCTGAGAGCAAAACGGACTCACCAAGCGGAGATGATTGATAATGCTGTAGATGAAATATCGTCGGGATCCACGGATCCACTTAGCAGTAAAAATTCAATTCTCGTTCAGCAGCATGGTCGATGCCCGCGCGCTCGTCAAGCTTAAATCCAAGCACCTCACTTTTCCCTCGCGGCATAATAGTTATGTACTGCACTTAATGCGACATTAACATTTTATCGAAAGCCGTAGGGGGAGACGGAACGTTTTGGCGCGCGCTACAGCCGTTTAAAGACTTTCTAAAAAGATGATGACCATTACCGTCTTCGAGGTGGGTCAATTACCATAGCTGCAGTAAGCGGTTATTATGTCTGGACGTAGTCCTCCAATTCTCACCGCCCTTGACTCCAGACAAGCCCTTTGAGCGCTTTCGATACACCTGGTGGGTGGTACAAACGCCGCTTTACATTGCCCACACTTGGATCGCCGAGATTATTGAGGTTATCGCAAGTGAGTGCCCATTCTGGCGCACAACATCGATGCTTGTAGATAGTAAGTGTGACGCTCTGTGGCCGCCGTTTGAAAATAGACCAAACTTATGCCACCTCAACTTTCTTATCTTCTCTTCATTTTTTATAGTCTTTTAAACCCTCATCGCAATAATAGGATCAAGACATCGACCACTTGTGACTTAGGCCAAGCAGAAAGTGTGAGGCGATTGCATAAACGTCAAACGAATCACCAAACCATGATTTGTGTAGTAATTACGTCGACGATATGATTTATTGCATGAGTTGCCCTGTCAAGACAGCCCAAGACCTGGGACTAAAGATGACCAACTCTATATGCAAAGAGACTAGTTAGCACAGGAAAATGCCATATCGTAATGTAGTCGGTGGCTTGATGTATTTCAAGGGCTCCGGTGAAAACGATAGCACGCCCAATTCTTAGTCATAAAGACTTTAGGAGATAGTCTCGCGGGTAACGTGGGATATTTGCGCTTTATGAGCTCAACGATCCGCGTCATAATGCTACTAGAAAGTCCTCAACACCGGCAAGAGAGCCATTCAGAGCTCAATCAAATACTTCCCTTTTCAAAATGAGCAAAAACCGTAAGTCAGTGATGTAACATGTCTAGGTGAGTAGGATGATCGGATGTCGTGACAGAATCAAGCAATAATTAAATCACCTCCAAAATGTCCTTTCGCTAAAAAGGTGTCTTTGCTCCGGTACACTTCGCTTCGACAGCTCGCTAACACTCCGATCTCTAAAGCTTTTTCACCATCAGCCCCTACCTTATAACAATTTATGAGCCGGAGAACTTACTCGAGATCCACAACCAAGGTCTCGATCGAAAAATTTTATGGGGACAACTTCGCAATATGATGCAATCACATGCCTGGCATGTTTTTAACCAAGTCGACGTGTATGCAGAGGGGCTGCCGTTGCTCTTTGCTTAGAGCAAGCTAAGCTTAGGTCACCTTCCAAACGTTCTTTCCAGAAGCAAATCCTAGTGTAGCGGATCGCAATCCGATACTTCTTAGGACTAAAGCTTTATTAAGACAACGAACACTTCTATTCAAAAACAAAATGTATTTATTTGTTTTAGTTGCGGCAGAGCCGCCAATATCTAAAGTTCTACGATTTCCTAATTAATATAGTAATACCTAACTAATATAGCAAATCTAATTAATATAGTAATATATATTATAGCTGGCAATCCTGCACGTGGTGGCTTTTTGTTAAGGTGTAGCCACACCACTGTATTGTTACACCGACTGTTTAATACACACCTATGAACAAGTGTATGCGAAGAACGTGATGGTGTCTCAGACACGCGAGCCTTGTATGCGGTGACCGTTAAATGTGAATCGGGGATATTTTGAGTGTTACAGGTTTACGCATACCCTTATAGGATAGGGCGGGTCGCACAAGATGGTGTGTCCATGCAAAGGTGTGGATTTCACAAGTTGGTGTAATGGCACAATGGTCTGGCTACACCGTAACAAGAACCCACTACGTTGTAGAATTGCCAGTAGTAAATGCACATTAATTAGGTTCTACTAAACTAATTATGTTATTAATATTAGGAAAACCTTGGGTTTCAGATATAGGGGGCTCTGTCGGAACTATAATAATTAACTACGATTTCAATTCTGAACGGAAGAGTTCACTTAACTTGGTTGAGGTTTTAAGTACTCTTGGAGGCACCAGATTGCGATCCGCTGCACTCGTACTAGTTATTATTAAGTATGTAAGGTCTGTGGCCTTAGCTTAGCTTCCTTTAAGCAAAGAGGTACGGCAGCCCCGCTGCATTGCGATTTGGTACACTCGTATTGGTTCTAGTATATCAGTGAACTTAAGTAAGCTTACTCTAAGCAAAG